AGCAAAGGTCAATGCTGTATTTATTTGGTTGTTAACTGTTGTCAGTTTCATAATAATAGTCTTTTATTTATTTATTTATTTATTTATTTATTTTGGTTAATGTCTGTAGTTTAGTATCAGAAAAATTTGAAAAAAAAAAAACATTATCATCAATGGCAACAATTAACAGCTGCAGAAGCAGCTGCAGTGGCAACAGTAAAAAAAAATTAACTCAAAAATATTCTTCTACCTTTAATTTTTTTAAAAATTTTCAAACAATATTGTCTGTCTAAACTTTTCAATAGGTTTTGCCTTTTTTTTTTTGCTGTTATTAGTCTGTTTTCTATCTGCTTCTTTCATTAGGAAAATTTCAGATTTGGTAAAACGTATTAATATTTGATTATCTTTTTATGCAATACAAATACGTGTTTTTCTGCTGTCTCTTAAAAAAAGAAAAAAGAATGGAGGTAAAGAAACACATATTTGGCTGTTGTTGAGAACAGTTTATCTGATGTCTGGAACTTTTTTTTCTTAACACATGTTGTGCTTCAATATTATTATTATTATTATTATTATTATTATTATTATTATTCATTATTATTATTATTATTATTATTATTATTATTATTATATCAATGATATTATAATAACAGTAATACCAATAACTAATACTTATTATTATTATTATTATTATTATTATTATTATTATTTGTTATTGTTATTATTATTATTATTATTGTTTTATTACTACTTTAAACAGAGTAACAAAAGACAAAACCGAAAAACTTTGTAAACCTTTCTTCTTGATTTATATTTTTAAAAACCAATAAATTTTGAATAGATTGTGTAAAAAATTTTAACTTTCAGCTTATGTCACATTTTATTTTAGTAAAAAAATGATTAATTTTGAAAATTTGTTTGATATACTTTAAAACATCTGATCAGAGCACTATCAACAATTATATAAAAGAATAAAGAAATAATTTCTTTTAACGTGTTGCTGTTGTCGTTTCACTTATTCAATTCTGTTCACTTCAAACAGTGATTTATTCTTCACACATTTCTTCAGCTTCTTCGCCTTTTTTTTTTTTTACTTTCTAAGTAATTTATATCTGCTTGAATCTGTTTTGCTTTTAATTCTTTTTTTTAAATTATTTTTCCCGAAAAATATTGAATTGCAGGGGTTTTAAAAGTAAACTGGAAGAAGTATCCAACAATTTAAATGTCTGTTTGCGCAGCACTGTTGCAGACAGCTTCCCCGTCCAGTAGCGGCAGTGATCATTCAAACGGCTACGAGGCCGAAACGATGACTCCGCTTGATGACTTACTTGGTTATCAACAATCTAATCCGGATTCTCGAATTCGGCTACGACTGGAAGCATCTCGTCAGGGAATGCTACAGTTGGAGGCGCTTAGGGTTAAACATCAAAAACTTATGAAGGTTATTCAGAATAACTACAACACATTGAAAGCACTGCTTATCGTAATTGTTTTTTTTTTCTTCTTTTGCAGAAAAAGTGTAATCTTTTTCCAGCCAAGAAGCAATTTTTTTTATTTACACTTACAGTAATCGATGATTAAATGTTGACCAAATTTAGGAGATGAGAGTTCGTTTGTCTCGTTTTACTGAAATGACCAGAAAACAGAAGTGTGGAACTCCTGCCGGCGGTGATACTGTTTACAACAGCAGTTCAAACACCTTTGTAAGTAACAGTTTGTCTCAACTGACTGAAGTAACTACTGCCATACTTGCGTTTTTTGGCTAACTAAAAAAATGTCTTTTTTTTTTTTTAAATTCTGAACTGTTCTTAAACTTAATAGTACAAATTTTTTTGTAAACTGTTATAAACTTACCAATGTCATTAGAAATTTGTCAAACAAAGTTAAAACAGCTGCCTTTCTCGGCTAAATATTAATCACACATTGATTATAATAGCAAGCTAGCTTTTTTGTATCTTCACTTCTGCCACCTTCGAGATTAATTTTTTTATACTAGTTATCGTTTCATTTGTATTATTCTGAAACGTTATTCAAAACCGGTTATACTTCTTAAAAATGACCTAAACAGTTGCCAGAAAGATGACAAGAAGCACTCATTTTTCAGAGAAAAACAGAAGAAGCACGAAGCGAAAGCCCATTAAGTTGTTGTTTCAGCCACCGTTCTTCAGTAAGTATGGATTCTGGATGCATTTCTATCGCATCTGATCCCAGGTAAAAAAAACATGTGCGCTGTTATAATATGACTACGTATAAGGTAGAACAGAACTGCAGTTGATACTAGCCTCAGTGCCTGAGAATACACTTTTTTACATCTTATATATACCCCAATTTCTCTTATTTTCATGATCTCTGTGAGCAGTAGCTTTAGAAAAACTTTGACACTGAAATATCAGTAATTGTATCCTGCTTCTCCAATAATTTTTTTAAATAGAGCACAAATATTTGTTACAGGTGATAAAAATAATGACAAAAACAACTGTTTTTTATTGAGTTTGACTGAACGGTTTGGATATTTCAAAATTCAAATGATCACCATATTTGAATGAAAAAACTATACTGTTGCAGTGTTAGTAGCAGTTCGTCCACATCCTATAGTGCTTTTCGTAAACTGTCAGTTGAAGATCAGTCACAAACAGCTGAAAGCAATTTCTCATTACAAGAAAACCAAAAGATTGTGGTATTTGAATACAACGCTTCTTTTTTCCTATTTAATCTTTACAGCTATTTTTATGGATAAAGGATTTTTTTTACTTAACATATAAGCTAAATAATTTGTATATAAATATATAACATGTAGTATATTTGAAATTTTCTTCTGTGGAGATAAACTGAATGCATTCTGTTGTTAATGGTCTTTCATTATCATTTCTCAGGCAACCGCAATTGAGAGTACGACGGCACTCCGTTGTCACGGTCCTAAGCGTTATATAAAAAATTGGCAGAGGCCAAAGTCGATGTGTGCTGCGTTTCCTAAAGAAAGTCCGTTACTGGTAGACGCATATTCTTTTTCGCAAATTACGCCTCCACCAATGCATCGTAAATTCTCGTCGGTAGCACGATCTGAAAGCGTTCAGGTGTTTTAACAACAACAAACATTATTACTGTACATATGAATATATAAAGTTAAAAAATTATTTTCTGGTGCTCTAAGTGTCATTAAAAAGTAAAAGTCTTTTTCAAAAAAAAAAAAACCGACTTTCTTATAGTAAGTAGCAGTCGGTGTTTTTTTTAATATCCTTTTTGGTTCGCCACCAACTAACTACTTATCTGTTATTTAAAGACACGCCGTCCTTTCATAGCTGAAAGTTGTTTTGATGTACGAGCTGACAGGAACGAGCAACGTCTATTGAAGTCGGCTCAATGTTCTCTCGGTCAGCCATCAGTTTCTGCAGTAGTACTGCCTACCAAACCTCATGCATATGTTTCGGCTGAAAATGGATCAGATTCCTTGCCCTTGTTACGTCGTCGTGATTCACAAGTACAATTGAATAAAAAAAAATTCTTTTTCATCTTTTAATTTCAAGGAATTTGTGTAGCAAATATATGTTCACAAACAGTCATTAGGTAGAATGACATTTGTTAAATTAGTCATAAATCCAAACAAATTTTTTAGCTCAAAAAATCACAGTCAATCTTTCATGCTAGCCGAATTTTCGTTGAACGAACACCGAAGGCTGTTCCGGCCAGGCCACAATCAATGTTCATTACTTCCAGGATAGACTCTGATATAACTTCATCCAGAAATTCTCTGATTTTATCCCGGTTATAAAACTATTTTGAAAAATTTTTCTATGCTATCTTAGTTTGACCATAAAATAGTTTAATATATCACTGTTATATAGTACACTTGTACGCTACATTATTATTGCTCTCTAATAAAATTTGGAAAAATAGCTTTTAATCTTTCCTACCTGGCTAATTAAATAAGTACCTTTAAAAATACTCATTTACTGTCATTTTAACCATTATGGCTACTAAATTATTAAAGTCATTTCAGCGAACCGACTTGTGTATCGTCAACAAATCTTTCTGCCTGTGATAGTAAGACGCCTAATTTTGAGCCATCCATTACAGTTTCAACGGTGTCTTATACGCCTATTAACCGTGTACCTCATCGGTAAGATTTGCTTTACCTAAAACCACGTTGGCGACAGCTATTGATCTATTAATGGCGTTTATAGATGCACTGAATAGTATCATTCTAGAAATCAAAATGATTGTAAAAAACGTCTATTCAACAATTCAGTTATGCGATAAAAAAACTGCGAGATATTGAATGACCTAATTACTAATGTCACGTAAAATTGATTATTCATGTTTTCTGATCGAAGC